CTTCGCGCGCTTCAAGAATGTCGACAAGTGCGATGAGTGTTATAGCTGCTACTTTAACATCCAATGCACAGGTAGTAGGCGAGGATGGTGTCACGGCCTTCGGCTTGGATGAATTTACGTCGGCATTAACGGAAGATGATGCCAGAGTTCTAGTTGACTTGTTGAAACTGGCTGTAGCTAATAGAGTTTGCGCATCGGCCAAAGAAACGATATCGTCGGTACTGATCGCCCTAGGTAAGATCAATAGTTCTATCGGCAGTATGTTGCTGGAATTGTGTGTAACGGAATTGGAGGACACTGCGGCGAATAGCAACTGCGTCAACAATACGCCACAACCCGTAGTGCAGGAGACACCGCATCCTTATATAGATGACACAACATTGACGGGTCACGTAAAAATACCTGGCGCGGAGGCGCTTCGAGTGGAATTTGATCGGCAGTGCTCCACGGAGAAACGACACGATCCGCTCACAATAATGGACGGAAGTGGCAGAGTGGTGGCCGTTAGATCCGGCAGAGAATGGACTGAATGGGGACCAGAAATCAAGATCCAAGGTGATGAGTTGAAGTGGCGATTTTGTTCAGACGGATCTGTCAACGGTTGGGGCTGGAAATTCACAGTATATCCCATTCTAGCGAAAACGGCACCGTACGAGCTTGGATCCGATCGTGCGGTGCTGTCGCAGCCAACTATAGCTTTGGCCGAACATCTACTGATAGATAATAGTCTGATAAATTCCGACGGGAATGTCGCCTCTCGTCTGGCCACCGCTCTAGGCCAATGCAGTCAATTAAGTACTCTGTCCGCGCAGCAGAGGATGTGGGCGTTGAGAAAATTACAGGTGGTTTATACAAACGGACCAGGTATAAGACCTGAAGTGGCACTCTCGTCTCTACTTGGTTCCTTACCGCAAGCACTTTTACGACAGTATACATATGAAGATCCTCTGGTCAGAGGTGGCAAGCAATTAATGCACAGCGATTTTTTCAAGGTTCTCGTGGCGCTCGCATGCGATCTCGAATTGGACGGAATGCAGTTCTGTTCCGAGGTACACAAGTGGTCCTGGTTTCGCAGATATTGCCTCGCTGCGCGCGTGGCAAAGTCGCTCGTCGATCGCATTTCTTTACCGAAAGCGTTTTGTCACGAGGTCACAAAGCAACTGAACGAAATGGCAATGGATGGAGATACCGAATATACGAAGGATCACGAAAATCACAATATATTCAAACAGGGACACGATGAACAGTTACTACAATGGTTAAATCGTAGACCGGAGGACTGGACACTATCATGGGACGGTTCGGGCGCGATCTACGGATGGGGTCATAATCATAGAGGTCAACTAGGAGGTCTGGAGGGCCCGAAGGTCAAGCTACCTGCACCGTGCGAAAGTCTGTCCGCGCTCAGACCGATACAACTGGCTGGTGGTGAACAAACTCTGTTTGCCGTAACTGCCGATGGAAAAGTTTATTCGACGGGTAAGACGAAACTCTTAATTATAAGATCACTGTGTGACATATGTCGGATTTTAATTTACTATGTTTTGTAGGTTACGGAGCTGCGGGACGCCTTGGGATAGGAGGAACGGATTCCGTTATGATCCCAACGCTGTTGGAATCGATACAGCACGTGTTTATTAAAAAAGTGGCCGTCAGCTCGGGAGGAAAGCACTGTCTTGCTCTAAGTTCGGAGGGTCATGTATATTCCTGGGGTGAGGGCGACGATGGCAAACTGGGACACGGTAACAAGATGTCGTACGATCGGCCAAAATTGATCGAGGATCTACTCGGCGTAGAAATTTTAGATATAGCTTGTGGAGGTCATCATAGCGCCGCTATCACGAACGCTGGTTGGCTGTATACATGGGGGAAAGGTAAAAAGAACATGATTAAATGCAAGTAATGTACCAAAATGTTTTTGTATTTTTAATGATTTCGAGATTATTATATCTGCGCATACCATATATCGAATATCTGACTTTACACGTTTAAAGTTACTGAAAATGTAGATATGTTGTCTTATATCACGCTAAAAGGAATAACTGATTGTGCAGGACGGTACGGACGTCTCGGACACGGTGACAGCGATGATCAATTACGACCGAAGGTAGTCGAAGCTTTACAAGACTACAAAGTAATCGACGTGGCTTGCGGAAGCGGTGACGCGCAGACGCTCTGCGTAACCGATGACGATAATGTGTGGAGTTGGGGCGACGGAGATTACGGGAAATTAGGTAGAGGCGGCAGCGATGGATGTAAAGTTCCATTAAAGATTGATTCCTTAGCTGGGCTCGGCGTAATTAAAGTCGAGTGCGGTAGTCAATTTTCAGTCGCTTTAACGAGATCCGGAGCTGTATATACTTGGTAATAACAATATATAGCATTTATTTTTTTTTTACATGTTTCATACAATACGATCATTATGTCCTTTCCTTAATTTATTTTTACATTTTTTATTTCCTCTTTATCCTCTTATTTATGTGCAGGGGTAAAGGTGACTATCATCGTTTAGGCCACGGCACGGACGATCATGTGCGTAGACCGCGTAAAGTAGCCGCGTTGCAGGGAAAGAAGATTATTTCGATAGCGACGGGCTCGTTGCATTGCGTAGCGTGCTCCGACAAAGGAGAGGTCTTCACCTGGGGCGACAACGACGAGGGTCAACTCGGCGACGGCACCACGAGCGCGCTTCATAGGCCGAGATTGGTACACGCGTTGCAAGGCAAGAAAATTACGAGAGTCGCTTGCGGTAGCGCACATACTCTAGCTTGGAGCACCGCGAAGGCTACGCAAAGCAGAATGCCGGCATCCACGCCCATGGAGTATGATCTAGTTAAAGATCTATCGTACTCCGTACTGCGCAATAGACTAGTATTACTACATCATTTCGCGGAACTCTTGTGCCCTGCTTTGGCTATGTTTCCGATCACCGGTCATGTTGGACTGAGTAAGCTAGCCCCTATGCTGGTATACAGTATAAAGGAAGCGACATTCCGCAAGGTCATTCAAGCCACGATGGTTAGAGACCGTCAGCACGGACCTGTGATCGAATTAAACAGAATACAAGTGAAAAGGGCTAGAGCAAAGGGTGGATTAGCTGGACCGGACGGTATCAAGTCTGTTTTCGGCCAAATGGTGTCGAAGATGTCTCTCCTGACGCAAGATGTATTATTCCTACCTCACAGAGTTTGGAAAGTAAAGTTCGTCGGTATGTATTCTGTTTATATAATCGTTAGGTCTTATTACAAAGTATACACGATAGGATATGCGAAATCGTTAATCGCGTTCGTATTATTTTATTTAGGAGAAAGCGTCGACGATTGTGGCGGTGGTTATAGTGAGAGTATAGCAGAGATGTGTGATGAATTGCAAAATGGCTCCTTGCCACTATTTATACCTACGCCAAACGGTCGCGAGGACAACGGCACGAACCGAGACTGTTTCTTATTGAACCCCATGGCGGACTCCCAATTGCATATGAACATGTTTCAATTCTTAGGCATTCTAATGGGCATTGCTATACGAACGGGCAGTCCGCTGAGTTTAAATCTAGCCGAACCAGTTTGGAAGCAACTTGCTGGTATACCTCTAACACCCGCGGATCTGACGGAAGTCGATAGGGATTACGTTCCTGGCTTACTTTGTATTAGGGATATGGATCCCGACGAAAAAGTCTTTCAGAGTTTAGAAATGCCATTTTCTACCCCCTCCGCTGCAGGACACGATGTGGCATTATCTAACAGGTATTATATTTCCAAATTTTTTACTGTTATTTTTTTTATANTTGCATAATTATTATAATATAAAATATATTCAATCTATGTTGCTTCAGAATTCAAACCTATACTACAAAATAATATTTGATATATGAAAATACAATTTATGTTTGTATATTTAATAATATACAAACTTGAAATAAAAAGATTTGTGTGATAGATAATAAACTATTTCTATAATTAAACTCTTTAAATTTTCAGATATCTTAAGATAACACCAGAAAATAGACATGAGTATGTAAGATTGGCACTAGATTATAGGCTACATGAATTTGATGCTCAAGTAGCAGCTGTGCGAGAAGGATTGTCGAAAGTCGTTCCTGTGCCCCTATTGGCACTATTTAGCGGTGCTGAACTTGAAACGATGGTTTGCGGTAGTCCAGATATACCGTTGAATCTATTGAAATCTGTAGCGACGTATAAAGGTAGATACTCTATTTCAATGCTTATATCATATCAAGGTACTTATGATACTAATTTTTGACATAAGAAATGAAAGCATTAAACAGATGGTTTCAAAAATTTATCCCAATTCTTTCTCCTACAATACTTTTTCATCATAATTAGCCCATTAAAATTTTTTATATACATATGATTCTTTTTTATATGATTTATTTATTATGGTTTCTAATTTTTAAAAATCGTCTTTGCAGGTATTGAAGTGACCGCACCGCTTGTTCAATGGTTTTGGGAAGTTATGGACGAATTCTCCAATCAAGAACGATCGCTTTTTCTTCGTTTTGTTTGGGGCAGAACACGTTTACCACGCACAATCGCAGATTTTAGAGGCAGAGACTTTGTTTTACAAGTAAAAAACTACAATTTTTATTTTATATCGAGTATCACTGTATGCACACTCTTTTATTGATTGTTCTTTTCTTAGGTAATGGACAAGTACAACCCACCGGACCAGTTTCTTCCTGAAAGCTATACCTGTTTTTTCCTTTTGAAAATGCCGAGATATTCGTGTAAAGCAGTTTTACGACAAAAACTGAAATATGCGATACATTTTTGCAAAAGCATCGACACCGACGAATACGCTCGAGTGCAAGCTGCAACTAATTCAGACACTGAAGATACAGATAGTTTAGCGAGCGAAGAGCACACTTCGCTGTAAGTCATTCGCTAAATGAAACGTGTTATTTGTGTTTGAAGTGGCATTTTGTTGACTTCTTTACAGATGTGTTCACGGGGAGATTCTCTAAAAAAAATCCTATTTTTCTTACACGACATATTTATCACACTGTACTTAATATATGTATCGCTTTTGTAGCATATCTAGTTTAATGTATAGTAGACGATAATAAGAAAACGTAAATAAAATAATAAACCACTAAGAATAAGTCTATCAGACTTCTCTTAGTCGATAAAATATCCTTTATTTTGTAGATAAATATATCGAATTTACAATTAATTAGTTTTTATTAATTATTGCCGATACTTTTCATTAGTTTCACCTTTAATTATAGAAATAGTTCTTCTTTAATAAATAATTTAAATAATATAATAAATAATCATTATATATATGTATTTCGAAATACATTTTAGAAAGAATATATTACAGTTTACAAAGTCCAAAATTACCAAAGCATTTTTATATATTTTATCATAATTTTTAAATGACTGCATGTTGTATATTAAAATAATTAATATGTAGCGAGAATAGCCACCAGATTTGTTATTTTTAATAAATAATTAAACTGCAGATAAGAAGTATTGCAATATCATCAGTTCTTTTACACATTTATTGAATTCCTTGTTGATAAAAAGACATACAAATTGCTTGCATATGTATTTATATATATATCTATACACAACATACACACATATATTTGAGCACAGAATATCAAAATTGAAATATTTTGATGCAATATATAGATCGAAAGGATATTGTTTCACTTGTTTTATATAGTATATAATCTAACAATAAATAGAAAGTATATAAGACAGAATATGTCACGTGAGATTCTTGAAAAAATACCAACAATGACAAACACTTCCCACAGAATTTAGAATTGGCAATAAAGAAAATTATTCTAACACCGAGATTATTTTGAGTGCGAGTTTGTGTAAGGCGGGTAAATAGATAGATGTATAAACAGAGCGATAATACATAAATAGTTTTATCTGGAAATGATAAAAACTAATTTTATGATGAAATTACCGTTCCTTTACCTCTTATTATCATTAGCATGAAGAAATAGATATTTTTAATGTACAATAAAGTATACCAATACTTGCACCATACACATACAAGTTAGAAAGAAAAATAATATGGATAACAGATTGAGTATAATCACACAACTATATAGCGTCTTAAATCTCCTGTTAAGTGTTGCTTTTTCTTTATCATGCGAACACATTGGGTAATGTTTTGTCGCTTCGCAATTGACGTCGTTTGTAATCTCTTTTCCACTATACGGAAACAAGGATTTTTTTAAATCAAACATGCATTTCACCGCGAACGCGAGCTGATATCGCGCGCGAAAGAGAAATTGACGTTGAAAAATGTGACGAGAAGTTTCTTGATAACATGTATATGTTATAAACAGTATAATTTTGAAGATAAATCACAATTAGAGCAATAAAGCCGCGCGATCTTGACTGAGAGAACTACAGTCCAGTTTGTGTCAATATCTTGCAGTCATACACAAGCTGATTCTGTGAAGCATAGAAAATGCTTCGTCTAGTGACAAACAAGGTATATATCTATATTTTATTTCGTCGAATCTGATACGTTCAGCAAATACATTATGAAGTTAATAATTTTATTTATACTTTTGCAAAAGGATAAAATCGCACATAAGATATTCTCCTTCTTTTAGTTATCTAAATGGAGTTTCAGAAATAACCGAACAATCACTACATACAATGGAAAAAACATGACAAAGAAGATTAACATACCCAGTAATGCAGATGTTGTAATAATAGGTAACTAAATTTGTATCCTTGGAAAAGTACAAAAAAGGACTATATTATTTGGATAAAAATTGGATCTATATTATGCACATATTAATTAAAATTAACTGAGATTTAGCGGTATCTTTTCATATATAAAACCTTCAGAAAACGTGAAAAATTTCAAAAAAAATCCTATTTTTCTTACACGACATATTTATCACACTGTACTTAATATATGTATCGCTTTTGTAGCATATCTAGTTTAATGTATAGTAGACGATAATAAGAAAACGTAAATAAAATAATAAACCACTAAGAATAAGTCTATCAGACTTCTCTTAGTCGATAAAATATCCTTTATTTTGTAGATAAATATATCGAATTTACAATTAATTAGTTTTTATTAATTATTGAAAAAACATGACAAAGAAGATTGACATACCCAGTAATGCAGATGTTGTAATAATAGGTAACTAAATTTGTATCCTTGGAAAAGTACAAAAAAGGACTATATTATTTGGATAAAAATTGGATCTATATTATGCACATATTAATTAAAATTAACTGAGATTTAGCGGTATCTTTTCATATATAAAACCTTCAGAAAACGTGAAAAATTTCAGCTGAACAAGTTAATTTTAATTAATGGTTTTGGACATAGATATATATATTCATACAATGTGATATATACAAGAATTCTTACAATAGGTGGTGGCAGCGCTGGTTGCAATGCGCTTTATCAATTAGGAAAACGCGGTATCAATGCTATACTCTTGGATAAATCTAAACTTATATCTGGCACAACATGGCATACAGCAGGTCTCGTATGGTGTTTACGCGGAGTATGCGATATAGAAATGGAGTTGCTAAAAGCTTCGAGATTGCTTTATGCATCCTTGCAAGAAGAAACGGATATAAATCCAGGATGGATAAATAACGGTGGACTTCTTATCGCGAAATCTCCCGTGAGTCTAAATATCTTGGCATTTTCTCAGACGCGCGGTTGATGTCTTTATCCGCATTTTTTTGAAGGATAAATATTATATTGCATTTCACAGGAGCGAGTGGCCGAATACGAAAGATTAATTACTAGTTGTAAGAATTTTGATATTGATGCATATATAATTGATCCAGCCGAAACGAAGAAAAAGTTTCCCTTGATAGACGAGAATGCATTTCTAGCTGCGATACATTCTCCAGCAGATGGTACTATAGATCCTGCCATGTTAGTAAATGCATTGACAAAGTCAGCAGAAAAAAACGGTTGCAAGGTAATATCATTCATTTTTCTCTTTCATATCATAATCAGCCTACATAAATATTACTCAATTGAATATTTATAATTCACAATAGCATGATAAATCTTTGTATCTGTATTCAAAAAATAACAAATTACTGAATCTAAGGTGAAGTTTTGCTGCTAATTACGTTTGCAAAAAATTGATCTGATTGAATATAATTCTTCAAGGTTATCGAGGATTGTCCAGTGACTAAAATTCTCACAGAGAATAACGATGGCCATAAAATCGTTCATGGAGTAGAAACGCCTTACGGTATTATAAAAACTAATGTCGTATTAAACGCTGCTGGAGCATGGTCAGGAACGATAGCACGAATGGTAGGACTGGATATTCCATTAATACCGATGAAACACGCATACATCGTCACTGAGCCGATGAACGTACAAGGATTGCCAAACATCCGAGATCCCGATCGTAATATCTACTTTCGAGTGCAAGGTGGAACTATGAGCATCGGAGGTTACGAATCAAATCCTATCATATTAAAATCTGTAAGTTATATATATACATGTTACATGCAAAGATTTAAATGCTGTTATAGAAAAAATATTTGCGATACACAATATGAGTTCTCTTGATTAATTTTCAAACAATACGTACTATATAAAGGCACCAGAAGACTTCTCCTTTAGTTTGTACGAGCTGAATTGGGATGTATTCAATACACATGTAGAAGCGATGAACCAATTGATACCCGTTTTGGCAACCACAGGAATAAGAACGACAGTGTGCGGTCCAGAAAGTTTCACTCCTGACCATAGACCTATCATGGGTACAAAATTTTATCATTAATTTATAATCGATGTTTACATTCATTAACATTATATGCACATTAAGTCTAAAATACAACAATATCTCTAAAAGGTGAAGACCCACGCTGCACAGGTTTTTATTACTCCTGTGGATATAATAGCGCTGGGATGATGTTCGGAGGTGGTTGTGGAGAACAAGCAGCATTATGGATAATTAACGGACGACCAGACAAATACATGTTCAATCACGATATTAGGCGGTAAAAGTTCATTTTCAAGTTAGAGATATCAAATTTCTTAAATAATATGATGTAACATCACATTTATGTAACAATTTAACTTTTAAAAGTACTGATAATTCTTTTTTTTTACACATATTGATATAAAATGTAATATATATCAGCAACATAAATATTATTCTATTTAAATGCTGTTATAGAAAAAATATTTGCGATACACAATATGAGTTCTCTTGATTAATTTTCAAACAATACGTACTATATAAAGGCACCAGAAGACTTCTCCTTTAGTTTGTACGAGCTGAATTGGGATGTATTCAATACACATGTAGAAGCGATGAACCAATTGATACCCGTTTTGGCAACCACAGGAATAAGAACGACAGTGTGCGGTCCAGAAAGTTTCACTCCTGACCATAGACCTATCATGGGTACAAAATTTTATCATTAATTTATAATCGATGTTTACATTCATTAACATTATATGCACATTAAGTCTAAAATACAACAATATCTCTAAAAGGTGAAGACCCACGCTGCACAGGTTTTTATTACTCCTGTGGATATAATAGCGCTGGGATGATGTTCGGAGGTGGTTGTGGAGAACAAGCAGCATTATGGATAATTAACGGACGACCAGACAAATACATGTTCAATCACGATATTAGGCGGTAAAAGTTCATTTTCAAGTTAGAGATATCAAATTTCTTAAATAATATGGTGTAACATCACATTTACGTAACAATTTAACTTTTAAAAGTACTGATAATTCTTTTTTTTTCACACATATTGATATAAAATGTAATATATATCAGCAACATAAATATTATTCTATTCATATTTACAATTTATTACATTTTTTACATTATTATATTTTCTTCCTCTTTCCAGATTTATACCAGAACAAAGAAAGAACTTAGTTTGGATTAATGAGCGAAGTCATGAAGCTTATGCAAAAAATTATGAGATTATGTTTCCACACGACGAACGTTTAAGTGGCAGAAATTTAAAGACAGATCCTTTTCATAATGTGAGTTATGCTTTACACAAATATTCAAACTTTGTCAACATTTTTCGCTTAGATTATCCATTTTCATGTTTCTTTTATTTATCAATAATGTGTTACTGTTCATCTTTTATATATGATAGTTACTCATCAATGAAGGCGCCGTCATGGAAGAACGGCAAGGATGGGAACGTCCAGGATGGTTCTTGCTAAATAATAAAACAGCCACAGCTTTACGTTATGATTATGATGGCTATTATGATACGCCTAAAAATACGAATGATATATATGCCGATATATTAAAAACGGAACGTACATTCCAATTTCCATCACACGATAATATCGTAAATCTAACTTTTTAATTTGGAATAGGATCGTGTTAAAAATTATTTTTCAGCAAATATGTTAAATTTAAAACATTTTTTTATATATCTATTATAGATACGGGAGGAAGCGCTTTCATGCAGAAATAACGTTGCCTTATTTAACATGTCGTACTTCGGGAAATTTTACATATGCGGCCCAGAAGCAAGAGAGGCAGTAGATTATATATTTACATCTCAAGTAGATCGAGAAATCAACAAGACTGTTTACACTTGTATGTTAAATGGAAACGGAGGTGTGGAAGGTGATTGCACGGTCACTGGTCTAGAATCTGGCTTAGGTGGTATAGTTGATCCCATATTTAAAGGAAAAGCATTTTACATCGGTACAGCTATATACATTTACATTTTATCAAATGTGTACATATTTTATCTCGCAATCCAACATTATTAACTCCTTTATTTCTGATTTTAGTGAGTGGAGGCATGTCATCGTATCATACCTGGGCACATATCAATAAAGTAGTCAGAGAAAAAGATTTCAGCGTCTCTGTGCATAATGTCACAGAACAGATAGGAATTTTATCAGTTCAAGGTCCTAACAGGTATTCAAATGAAATGCGAATACGAATATATGTACAAATTATGACAAAAATGTATGACAACATCATATATCTCACACTATTCATTCAGTATATTTTTATTGCAGCCGTCAAGTTCTTCAAATATTAGTTGAGGATGATCTCTCGAACAAATCATTTCCATATAGCACTTCAAAATTAGTACGAATAAATGGTGAACTAGTGCACATGTTTAGACTAAGTTTTGTGGGTGAACTTGGCTTTGAATTACATATTCCAAGAAGTTCGTGTGAAAAGGTTTATAAAGCTTTAATGGAATATAGTAAGAAATATGATATGAAATTAGCCGGTTATAGAGCACTCTACAGTTTAAGTTGTGAAAAAGGTACGCAGCAGTTCAATATTTTTGTATCATTTAAATCTATATGCTGTGTTGGGACTATGTATTAATTTGCCTATCAGGGAATCATCTTTGGGGTGCAGACTTAAGATTGGATGACAATCCAATAGAAGCAGCTTTAGAAACTGTCTGTCGCAAGAATGGCAAGTATTTAGGTAAAGCATCTGTCAAACGATGTCGTGAAAATGGAGTAAAAAAGAGACTGGTGCATTTACACATAAATGAGTAAGTATATCACTTTGCAATATATTTGTTTTTTTCTAATACTGCTGGTTAATCAATATTTCGAATGCATATTATTCATGGATAAATATTCGTTTAATTTAGTGATATACCACTGTGGGGTATGGAAAATGTATATAGAAATGATCAATTAGTTGGTTATCTAAGAAGAGCTGAACATGGATATACTTTTAAAAGCAGTATTGGACAAGCGTAAGTAAATGAGATAAATAATAGAAATAAATATGAATAATTTATATATTTATACATTTACTTTTTTTATCCAGATATATCACAGCACCAAATGGACAAAATATTACAAAGGAATTTTTAGAAACGGGTACTTACCAGATTGAAGCGATGAGAAAAAGGTATCCTGCAAGAATGTATCTTAAAAGTCCATTCGATCCACATAATAAGAGAATATTAGGTATATATACAATATAAAAATACTTTTTGGCAGCATTATTTTTTGTGAATTTAAAACATCTGTAAAAAGCATATATATGTATATTTTAATCATTACACTTAATATTTTGTGCAAATAGATTATATTTATTTAAGGAATTAATATATAAATTACTTATGTCATTACAATAAATAATAAAAATTATTCAAATACTCACAAATTTATCCCGCTAATGGGTTAGCATGTATGGTTATATTGTTTATCCTGATTTCTGCAAGTGGTTTGAAATTCTTAGGATTTACTGGTAATTTTTCCAATTGTTCCAAAGTCTCCAAACCATCAATCACTCTGTAATAAATAAAAACTTGATAAAAGAATTACAATTTTATTTGTTATAAAGTAAAAATAAACGTAAACTCACTTTCCAAATAAAGTATATTTTAAGTCCAAATGTGACTGCGGTGCGTAAGTTATGAAAAATTGACTCCCATTTGTATTAGGACCATTGTTAGCCATAGAGATAAGACCTCTCGTATTATGCTTCAGCTCCTCTTTGAATTCGTCTTCAAATTTACGATTCCATATAGAGGTTCCACCTTTACCTGTATTGGTAGGATCTCCAGTTTGGACAATGAAGCCTTTTATGTTCCGATGGAACAAGCAATTGTCATAATATCCATTAGCGCAGAGTGCAAGAAAATTCTATATGAAACAAAAATGTTAACGCTTGTATGCGAAATGGTCAAGAATGAATATTGTAGGTTATACATTGCTAATAAGTAATGTTACGAGATTGTATATACGTATTGATACGCGATAATATGTGTACATTGATCAATACCTCACATGTTTTCGGGCACATCTCGCAAAATAATTCTATTTTAATATCACCGACGTCCGTATGCAATGTAACGCTCTAAAAAAAACATAACATTTATATTATTCAAACTGTATGCACAAAAGTGTACACAATATGTATTACGGATAATTTATATTACATACCATCTTTGATACTCTCACTTTTCAGTATAAATTGCACACTAAGAAAATCAAAATTATTTTAAAGTGAAACGGCTGTATCTTTGACAGCAGATAAATGACTTTTTAATAGTTCCTTAAAACAATGGTTCTCACGCTATGAGCTGATAACCTTGAAGGACGATTAAAGAGAAAGTGTAGAAAGTGCAGTTGAAAGACCTGCGATGCGCGAAATTATTTCGGAGTCAAATAATGTCTTTAATGAGACTCGACGAACTCACGATGCAATTTATGTATTAAAAAAAATATATATACATACAAACAAAAACATTGTTTTTTTACTGACGTTAAAGAAATATCAATAAATTAATCGGCGAATCGTGAAATTTCGTTTCGAAAGAATCGTGAACTTGACTCCGTTGGTAGGAATGAAAGGAATTTCCGAAGCAGCGCCACGAGCGGCCATGAATGCGTACTATTTGCGTGCGTTCACTCTCTTGTCGCACGCACATCGGATACAAGTTGAACGGAATTAAAGAGAGAATTCCGCTCGATACTTCCGTGAATAGTAATCTGCGCACATCGTCGAGGATAGCGTCGCCAATATCGTGTCGAATTTGCGATCGCGCGAGCC